TCTCTCTCTCTCTCTCTCTCTCTCTCTCTCTCTCTCTCTCTCTGTCTCTCTCTCTCTGTCTCTCTCTCTCTCACACACACACAAAAAATAAAATAAAAGGTGGCAATGTATATTTCCATGTTCTAGCAGAAGATTCATTCCGATTTTGCTCATCCTATCGATGGATTTCATGGATACCCTTGTGACTAGCAGATCTGGGAAAAGACACATTTATAGTGGATTGCTTTTCTAAGTATGCCAAACTAATCGCTATGCCAGAAAATGCTAAAACTAACTACGTCATCAAACCCTTTATGGATAACTGCGTACGCGACTTCGGTTTGCCTACATCTATTGTTAGTGACAAAGATGTGAGATTCACCAGTGAACTGTGGCAATCAACTGCTGAAAAGATGGGCACAAAACTCCAAATGACATCAGGGAATCACCCTGAGTCAAATGGCCAAGCAGAACAAATGAATCGAGTAGTACAGCACCTTCTTAGACATTATATCAAGCCAAGTCAGGACAACTGGGACGAGAAATTACCTCTCGTCACCAGCTTGTATAACAACGTTGTGCACAATACTACAGGAACATCTCCAAACCAACTACACCTTGGTTGGAAACCCAAAAGTGCACTTGACTTTCTACTACCAAAAAGAGAACCCACTACAGCACCTGGCAGCATAGAGTTTGCTGTCAAATATGAACAGATGCTGCAGCAGGCCGTTGAACATATCAGAAAATCTCAGGATGCAATGATCGCATCTGAGAATAAGCATAGATGGCCCTCTAACTTTCAGGTAGGTGATAGAGTCTGGGTTAAGTCATCTGAACTAGGTCGGGAGGTAGGCATTTCACGTAAATTGTGTGCCACAGTACTTAGACATTGTAGGGGATCAACCGGATGGGCCTTCATACGTGATTCGCATTCCTGCGCACTTACGCACTTACCCTGTGTGCCATGCCTCCAAGTTGGCACCTTTCGCTTCCATTGCCCCCAACCATGGATGGCGAAGTGGACATTGACCAGATCGTGGAGCATCAAGTGATGCCAGTACCTCGACCATCAGGCAGAGGCCGTCCTCCTAAACCAAGAATGCAGTATCGTGTGAGATTCAAACATCATGTGGATCCTAAAGAAGATCGCTGGTTCACACGAGAGGAACTCATGAGAACAACACCTCAAGTGATTGCAGGCTACGAAAGAGAACTCAAAGAGAAGATGTCTGCAGAGTAACAGACTTCTCAGAGGACTAACGAAGTAAAGGAGGAGGGAATGCGAGGATTTGGGATGGGGCCCCGGTTGCAGTGGTGCCCGCCCTAAGTGAAGGCGGGCCTAACATATCACAAGAGGCCTTTGACTGTCAATTTCATATTTGGGGTACAGGCAGTTGCGGCGCGCCAGTTGGTTGAGAAAAACACAGGCCGAGCAAACAAGACATTTCCACGGCCTTCTGGGCCTTTCCGAAAAATGCAGGCCCTGGGCGAGAAACACAGCCTCATACACTGACAGTTGGGAGGCCCAGTAGCTGCAAAATAGCACGCAGCATCCTGGGGCCTATCGGAAGCTTCTGGGCCCAGGCTCAGCCCAGCTAGGCTGCGAAGCAGGCAGGCTCTTTCCTATATGGAAAGAGCTCGCCACTCTCAGCCTTATTTCGGGCACTTGCTGGCTGGAGCGATAGCTCACGTGCTGGCTGCTGGCATTGGAGCAAGAGGCTGCGCACGTGCGGTCGTGTGGTGAAGCAGGGCGCTGCTGAGGGCAGCGCCATAGCCCAGCCTCCATAGCTGGCAGGGCTTGGATGTACAGCGAGGCGCAGGGGTGGTCTTCGGGTGTATACAGGGAAGACATGGGGAGAGAGAGTCAGGGGAAAGAGAGAGAGAAGGATGATGATGATGTGATGTGAGGGCCATACCTGGTATTGGCGATAGTCTGCTACGGGCGACATCTTCAAGTACTTCGGAGGCTGCTGACGTCAACAGTTGCATTGTCAATTGGTAGGCTAGTAGTAGTTGTGTAGGGAGTAGGCTGGGCGCCGAGCGCCAAGTACAGGGATAGGGACTGGATACATATGTTGGTGGTTGCGAGAGCAAGCTCTAATTGACATTGGCTTTCAGTGCTACTATTCCCAATTGGTGTAATATTGGTGCAATGCTACTTTCTGAACATTGTGATACGATCTGGCTTTCAATGTGATTGTGCAATCTGAACATTGTCATCTCGCTTCTATTCATTTTCCTTGCAATTCGAAATACGTAGAATTAATTAATTCTTTTTCGACATTCCTTTGAAACTCAAAACTACTTTTCATTCATTCTTTTTCAAATTTTTTGAAAATAACCTAGAATTAATTAAATTCTTTTTCGATACTTCTTTTTTTTTTTTTTTTTTAAATTCAAAAATAATTTTACTTAATTCCTTTTCTAGTATATTTTAACAAATTCCCTTTCGAAATTCTCGAACTTCGGGAATATTTTACTTAATTCCTTTTGAAATTTCACACTTTTCATACCCCAAAATTCATTTCGAATAAATTTAGTGAGAATTTTTTTTTTTGAAATTAAATTTTTCTTTTTGATATTTTCAGCATTTTGTAATGAACCCAGATCGTGAGACAGTTGTCAACAATGCAAGTCCAGAAAATGTCCATCGGCTGATGATTATTAATTGTAAAAAATTGTGACCAGACAGAATGAGGTGAGATATCATACACAGACAAAGAGAGAGGAGGGAGAAGAGACAAAGGAGAGGAAGTAAAAATGCCCACTCCTGAGGAAGTAAAAATGCCCACTCCTGCTTCGGGCTCCCTTCTCTACTACCACCTCGTCAATCAATAGTCTGAACGAGTATCCGAGTATCCTTAATGTGCCAAGTGGCACGTCTAATCAGTTCCACATCAGCATCTGGAGCAATGTCGACATGAAGACCATCAGGTATGTATCCTCAAACTCTCCACAGTCCTGATCTCCTCCTGGAGTGACGACAAAACAAAACAACAATGCCGATCATGTAGTCCCCGCAATAGGACACGTGGACAACAGTCACGTCAACATGAAATATGTGGCAGCAGCCACATCAGCAAAGGCGCATGGCAGCTGCCCTGTCAGCATGCCAAGAAGACAGGAGCAAGCCGGCCACCATGATGGTCTAGCAGCGCCTCGCCAAGTTACAATGCCAGCAGCGTCGAGCCAGCGTCGCAGCGTCGAGCCAGTGTTGAAGTCAACGTGTGAAGTCAGCATCAATGCAAGACAGAATGAATGTCAGAGCCAGGAAGTCAACTCTTATGTAGTGTTGATGCGGGGTCTGAACCCCGGATGCTGTATCCCTCGGCCGTCCAGATCTCAATGCGAATGAGGGCTCAGATTGACCTGAAACTGAATTCCCTCCGGCCTGGATGATGTCATGGTACCTGCGCACAACAAGTGAGTGTATCCAACCCAGGGCCTGGGTGCGGTACCTTTGACTCTACAGTTGACTTTGACTCTTGAACTTCCTGTGTGCAGCGTTCCGTCACACAGCCACACTCGGCAGACTCAGGCCTGGGCGTGTCTTGGTCACACATCCCACCGCAGACCTTCTCAGGTTTGCGTGGCCTGGGGCTGAGTTCTGGGACCCAGGCTACTTCTGAACAGGGTTATTACATTCCTGCCGGCCCATTTTCGAGTTCCACCGCAGAAATATTTAAGACTTTAACCCTCGTTCATAAGCAGCGACACTATCAAGAGCAGTTTCAAGTAGTTCTCGTTTACTAAACCATCTGTCCTCAGATGGTGCTCGAGTTTTAAAACGTACCTTGAACTGCTTCTGAGGTCGTTCACGTCCTCCCGTAGAGAAGTAGCCATGCTCTTTGATCTGGTCAACCTCGTATCCGCCATCCATGTCTGGTGGAATCATAAAGGGTCTGTGAGGAAACTCATTTCCTTCTACGTAAGGCAACAATTTGGACGCATGAAAGACAGGGTATGTTTTGAGACGAGGGGGAATATCACCTCGATAAGACGGTCCCTCAGCATCTCCAATTACCTTGAGAACTTCCCAGGGTCCAAAATAGACAGGTAGCAATTTCTGGGAGACATCTTCTTCAAGTGAAAACTCTTTAGATTTTACCCAAACCAAATCACCTTCTTTGAATGTAGATGGTCGACAGTGCTTGTTATCTTTAACTATCTGAATGTCTTCTTGAAACAAGATTGCATATTTTCGGGTCCCTGGAGCAACCTAAGAAACTGGTCTCGGTTCAGTACATCAAGGCTTCCACCCTTTGTGAAGTGCATTTGGGGTTCGTCCAGTAGATGTGTGGACACTCTTGTTACATGCACTTGCAATCTTAGGTAAGTTCTCGTCCCAATCAATCTAATCGGGTCTAATATACATACGCAAAAGTTGTTGGCACAGACGATTCATTTGTTCAGTCTCGCCATTCGTTTCGGGATGCCTCCCTGACGATATTGTCAGTCGTGTGCCATAAGCTTCCATCAGCTTTTGCCATGGCAGACTGGTGAACCTGACATCTTGATCAGACATAATGGTTTTAGGGAACCCATACTCAGTGACCCATCGCATATGAAACTTCTGAATGACAAGTTCAGTACGTGCTTCTGCTGGTAAGGGAACAAGCACAGTGTATTTAGAGAAACGATCCACAATTACCATCACTCGACTATTACCATTGCGACTTTTAACCAGACTCATAAAGTCAATTGAGATAGACTCACCTGGTTCGCTTGGTATAGGCAATGGCTTGAGAAGTCCAAGGGGGTTCTCATGCGACGGCTTGTTTCTCTGACACACTAGACATGTATGAACATATGTTAGTACATTTTCTTTAAGTTCCTTCCATTCGAAACGTTATCTGACTTCAACATATGTTTTCGTGAAACCAAAATGTGCCTCAGAGTCGTGACCTTCCCCAATCAACAGACTTTTGATCTCTTCTTTATGAGGAATACACATTCTTTGTTCAATTTGGTCAATCAAGAATAACAATCCATCACTCATTCTATAGTTGGGCAGTTGGGACGGATCTCGTACAAGGACATCCATGATTGGTTTCCAGATAGGATCAGTAGCATATCATTGGCGAATCTGATCTTTCAGGTCATTCCCAACAAGTAAGAGACAATTGCACCAAAGAAGTCACTCCGTCAGGACAATGCATCTACAACCACATTAGACTTTCCTTTGATTGTTTTCAACTCAAAATCAAAAGTATCAATGAATGCAGACCATCGAACCAGTTTATCAGAGAGCCTCGGCTGTGTCTTTATCCACTTCAGAGTATAGTGGTCCGAGTACACAGTGAAGTGCCTCCCTAACAAGTAGTGCTTCCACGTGTTTAGTGCATAGACTAAGGCATACAACTCCCTTTCATAGGTGGAGTTGGCAACCTTTTCAGACGACAGTCGCGCAAATATAAACTCTATGGGCATATAGCCCTTGCCATCATCTTGTTGTAGAACAGTGCCAATCCCATACTGACTTGCATCAGTAGTGACGATGAAAGGCAAAGACGGGTCAGCAATCTTAAGGACGGGGTAGTGAGTCAGGGCGTACTTCAATTTCCGAAAGGAAGACTCACAGAGTCACAATCCTTGTCTCACAACCAGACAGTTTCTTTCTTTAACAATCTTCGCATTGGTGCAGCAATCAAGGAGAAGTTTCTAACAAACTTCGTGTAATAACTGGCTAAACCAAGGAAAGATCGCAATTCCGTTATAGACTTAGGTTGTGGCCAATCTCTAATCGCTGAAATCTTCTTCTCTTCTAGCCTTAGACCTTCTTCGTTCGCTATGTGTCCTAAGTACAACACTTCGGACTTAGCGAACTCAAACTTCTTGGGATTGATCTTGAAGTTGCCCTCAAGCAACTTCCCTAGCACCAGACGGAGGTGCTTTTCATGATGTTCTAATGTTTTGCTATACACTAGAATACCATCAAGATAGACGATGACAAACTTATCTAGCCACTTACGAAAGAGTTCATTCATAGACCTTTGAAAGGTCGCGGGGGCATTCGTCAGTCCGAAGGGCATCACCATAAACTCGTAACGCAGTCTTATATTGATCCGTGGGTTCCACCTCGATCTGGTGGTATCCAGACTTCAGATCAATCTTACTGAAGAACTTGCAGCCCTGCAACTGGTCCAACAAGTCGTCAATACGTGGTAGAGGTTCGACATTCTTAATAGTGACGACATTCAGCCCTCTGTAATCAATATAGAGACGCAACTCACCTTCCTTTTTGGGCACAAATAAGAAAGGGGCACCATTAGGAGAAGAGCTTGGGCGAATCCATCCTTTTTCAGTTAAGTCCTCTAATTGTTTTCTTAATTCCTCAAGTTCCCTAGGAGACATCCGATAGATAGGACCATTGGGAATCTTACTGCCAGGAATAATTTCAATGGTGTGCTTTATAGCACGCGCAGTTATTCCTGTTGGTTCGGAAAACAAGTCTTTATACTCACTAAGGAGTTTTTCGGTCGAAGGAGGATAGGAAGCAGAGGATTCACCTGCTCGTTTTACTAAGACCATCATTACTTCCTGTTCCAACCTTTTCTTTGAAACCATCGAACGAAATGATGGGTAACTCATACAACAGAAAGAGAGACTAAAGTCAAGCCCAAACTTATGAAACAGTTTGATAGGTTTCATTTCAGATTGTGCGTCTCGCAATTGCACAATCTTCTCTTTGAACTTAATGTCTGGGTTGGCTTCCTCGTGTCAATCCATTCCCAGAATCAAGTCAAACGCTAGGTTCCTTTCGATCAGGAAGGATACCTCGTGCAAAATCTTTTTACCTTCCCTTGTTCGAAACCAACACTTGACACGATAAACATACTGCGAGACAGTGCTCATGCTTTTGTCAGAAAGAACAGACGTGATAGGTCTAGATAGGTTTTTCACCTTCATTCCGAGATGCAACTTGCGGATTGCCTTCTCGAATATATAGGATCGTGTAGATCCCGAGTCCAACAGTGCACCTACTCGTGTAAGACAGGTTCAAGGTGATCTGGACGATGGGCCGAAAAAGAACCATCCTCTGCCGTGCGAGTCAAAGGGTTGAAAGGGGTCGTCGGCGCCATACCTTCTTTGTCCAAACCCTTTAACTCAGTAGGAGCAGATGCTACTCCTACTGTCTGCTCGCTTTTGGGTATCGAATCTGTGGGCACCATGCAATCACATGCCCTGCAATGCCACACTTCAGACATTGTGCATTGTTCATTCTTTCTTGCCATAATTCCTGTGATATCCCCATCTTCTCCCACGGCTTCCCGACCGCAATTCCGGGATTCTCAGGGAACGAACGTGGTTTCTTTTTCTTTCCTGGCGATCGTGGTCCTCCTTTGTTGACCACTGCGGCAGTGACTTCCCCCTTCCCAGACTCACTGCTGCTCGGCACTCACTCGGCCTCCAATGGCCATTTCTCCACAGTATCGTCATCAAAGACGACGAGGGTGTGGTCCTGGCGCTTTTGGCGCCAGAGTGCCCGCTTTCCTACACCTGCACTTCCACCTCCACCATACTTCACCATGGAAGCATACGACTTCTTTACCTGTGAAGTCATTTGCTCTCGTTGGAGAGCCAGATCGCGAAACTGCCTGTAGCTGTACTTGCCGGATTTAGAATCTTCCACGAGCTGTCCACGAATAGGCTCAGGCAGAGCGCAGGATTTAGATCCGGACCCGGACCCCGGACCCTGGACCACGGACGGTCCAGATCCCTGTCCGGTGGTTCGAATCGTAGCCATGGCTTAAAGGATTGAAGGGATTTACTCTATACGTTTTCAACAAGAAAGCTTTCTGTGTTTTGAGACTATATCAACGACAAGGAGGAATTACGTCAGCATGATCTTTTCATCAGACCAAATCACTTATAGTAAATATTATGCCGAATTTTCTCAGCTGTGATTATTGACTGAAAGGATGAT